CCCAGGCAGGCACCTGCCAGTCGCCCCCGGGCTGCGGCCGTCTCCCCAGGCGCTCGCGCCACCGCGCATGCTCCGCAGGCACCCGTTCCGGAGAACCGGACTCCGCCCTCCGAGCTTTGCCCGCGGCCACCTGCCCGCTGCGCTTGCGCCAGGACGCATGCTCGGACCGCACCCGGTCCTCAGAAGTGTAGCCACCGGCCAGGTTTTGGCTACAAACGCCCAAGGTAAGTAAGGGCCGGGGGCGGAGGGCGCTGCAGGTGCAGCGCGGCACGGTGGGCGTGGCCACGCCGGATGGGTGGGCGTGGCTACTCCGGCGTCGCTCGCGTTCCTCCGCAGCCCGGTCCTCCGCGTCCCGCTCCCAGCCAGCCCTGCGGTCCCGCCGCCGGCCTGCGGGAGGCGCGGCCCCGCGTCTCTAGGGGAGGCTGCGCCACGCTGCGGTGCGGGCGAACTACTCGAGCGCACCAAAGGCAACTAACTTACTAACGCACGCACACAAAGGCAGGCCCGGCCACGTGCGTTCCCGAATGTTCTGCTGGGCTGGGGATGGGCTGTCCCCTCTCCTCAGCACCCGGCGAGGTGCCTGACAGCAGCCACGAGCACACCCAGACACACGGGCACACAGACACGGGCACACACACCCAGACACGGGCACACAGACACAGACACACAGGCACACAGTCACAGACACACAGACACGGGCACACACACACGCACACACGCACACACACACAGACACACGGGCACACAGTCACATTCACACCGACACGGGCACACAGACACACAGACACGGGCACACACACCCAGACACGGGCACACAGTCACAGACACACCGACACGGGCACACGCACACACACACAGACATACACAGACATGCACAGACAGCTGCACAAAGAGACACATGTGCAGAGACACACACAGACACATGCACACATACAATCCTAGTGACAAGGCTGGAGGAAGAAGGCTACCATTATTTTAAGAGTTCAAAGCACTGGACAAGCAGTTGACTATGGAAGCAGGCCCGTCATAGGGCATGAGGATTTTCCTCTGCCTCCCATCTGGAGAAAAGAGTAAACTTGATCTGATCCCAGATACACTGCAGGAGTCGAGTAAGTGCTCACAAAATACAGTATTTCCCAAGAACTTGGATATACGCATGTTCTGTGACTCAGCCACGCCATCGATAGGTGTTACCCAGGAACTGAAGTATACAATACACAAAGACCCATAGGAGTGCTTATGACATCTTGGGTTTTTTTTATTATTATACAATAGCTCCAATCGGGAAGAAATCCAATTATCAACAGCTCAAATTATTAAAAAAAAAAAAGGGGGGGGACTGGGAAGGTGGCTCAGTGGTAGAGCGCTTGCCTTGCGTGCATGAGGTCCTGGGTTTGATTCCTCAGCACCACATAAGCAGAAAAAGCCGGAAGTGGCGCTGTGGCTCAAGTGGTAGAGCGCTAGCCTTGAGCTGAAGAGCTGAGGGACAACGCTCAGGCCCAGAGTCCAGGCCCCATGACCGGACCCAAAAAAACAAAACAAAAAAATAAGTGGGATGCTACCCAGCAATTTTAAATATAGGCCTCAAAATCTTTGTACCAGAGAATCAGGGTGCAGGTGACACTGTACATGAAGAAATGCATTCTTTACCTGACTTAAGTAACTACAATCTCCCTGTACATCGATGAAAAATCTAAATATGATACAACCTGATTTGGATGGAAGGCAAAAAAAAGTCAGGCTTATAAATTGGCCAGGACCTAGTGGCTCACACTTGCAATTCTAACTACTCAGGAGGCTGAGATCTGAGGATCACAATTCAAAGCCAGCCAGGGCAGACAAAAACAAGGATCAGCAGAAGCTATAAATCTAAAGTGCTACATGTCTAGAGCCTCCATCTGAAAAAAATCAACCTCTCTAAAGATAAGAATTGTACCAGTAATAAAACTTTCCAAAAATAGGTTTGAGAGCTGAAATAGCTATTAAAGGACATCATTAGAAACATTCTTAATTACAAAAAATATTTTTAATCTATTCAACTGATTGTATCACCACCAATAAGATTTTGGAACTGTATTTCTAGGAGCCCTGGGATTTGTGAAATTAAAAAAAAAAAAGGCAGAGAAGCCTGGAGCTAGTAACTAATACCTGTATTCCCGGCTATTTAGGAGGCAGAGATTTAGGATGGCAGTCTAGGGCAGCTTGGACAAAGAGTTCACAAGCCTTTCCACATCAACCAAGAACTGGGTCCAATGGTATGTCCAGGTGTCAGGCCTAGCATAGGCCTAACCCCCAAGCAAGCCCATCTCTGCATCAACTGGGTTGTAGTGCCACCTAGAGGGCTTTAATTGGGAAAGGTGATCATTTGATAATAGAGGATCCAACACAATTTCCAAAATGTGGCTGGTGCCCCTTTGTCAACTTGGCCTGGGACACAGAGCTTAGCAAATACCAGGGACAGGGGAATACATATTTACACCAACCTCTCGACTTCCAGGGCCACCCTCCCCTTGGGACCCCATCTCCCCACACAATAAAGGGGAAAAGGGGCCTAACAGGAAATCTAGAAGCCACTTGACATATAGTACATTAGGACATACTACTCAATATACGGTTAATTAAAAAAATGACACATATTAAGGCACACTGGGGGTTGGGTGGAGGTGGACAGCACAGAGAATATTGAATATATAGACTTAGGACTGAATGGGAGATGAAAAAAATTAGAATTATCCTGTGTATATATTCTGTCGACATCCTCCACCAAATTCAAATAGAGCTTTGCTTTTGCTTCTCTTTTACTTAACATCTTGCAGCGGGTTTCTGATAGTTATTGTTGTATATATGGGTGCCAGTCCTGGAGCTTGAACTCAGGGCCTGGACGCTGTCCCTGCGCTTTTTCACCCAAGGCTAAGGCTTTTATCACTTGAGCCACGGCTCCACTTCTGGTGGATAAAGAGTCTCGCAGATGTGTCTGCTCGGGCTGGCTTAGAACCTGGATCCTCAGATCTCAACCCCTGAGTAGGTGGGATGACAGGCAGGCTTCCAGTCTTTAGATTTCACAGACCAGGCTGTGTCGGTTCCCACAGTTGTGCTGGGGGAAAACAGCCCTGGGAAAACGTGGCCCATGCGCGCACGCCCCTTTCCCGGTCCCGCCTTGACTCCGCCCCTTGGAAAAGCCACGCCCACCCCACAGGCCACGTCCATTCACCGCCCCCGATCCGCCCTGGCCCCGCCCTGTCACACGCCGGCCCCGCCCCTGGCCCCGCCCCCAGCCCCCCGCGCGCTCCAGGCTTTCCCCAGGGTCCTAAGCCGGAAAGTCTGAGCGCGCGACCCGCCGCACCAGCAGCCACATCCGGGAGGAGCTTTGGGCCCTGCGGGTCGCCGTAGGCTGCCGGGCCTTTTTCCCCCGCCCCCCCTTCAGCGGAGACCGGGAACCTGCGGCGGTGTGGTGGCCGAGGGCCGCGCGGCCTCAACATGGGCGAGCATGGCCTGGAGCTGGCGTCCATGATTCCCGCCCTGCGGGAGCTGGGCAGGTAGGGCCGCGGTCCTCCCTCCCCGGGCCCGGCTGACGCTGCGGGCTCCGCTCACCTAGCCGGCGGCCCGGGGGAGACTCGGCTCCGGGTCCGGGCTGGGAGCGTCCCGGTCGGGCGGCGGCACGGGGCCTCGGCGGTTGGTGGACCGTTGTGGGACCGTTGGTGGGAACCATTGCGGGGGGGGGGGCGGAGAAGGCGGGCCCGTGACGCCATCGGGGCGGGGCTTCCGACTGGGGGCGGGGCTTACAGGCCGCACTTTGCCTTCCGGCCCCGGGGGGGGCGGGGCCCCATTTCTTCCTCCCTCCCTTCCGTTCTGTTCCCCTCTCCCCGCCCCTCTCCTCTTTTCTCTTTCCTCTCTTCTTTCCCTCTCCCCCTCCCCCCTCTCTCTGTCTCTCTCTCTCTCTCTCTCTCTCTCCCTCCCTCCTTCCTTCCCTCTCTCCCTCCCTCCCTACCCCCCCACACCCCTTTCTGGTCACTTTTCTGCTTCCCCAAAACCTCTCTCTAAAGCCATGGACCGGTGGCTCACGCCTTGTAATCCCAGCTACTCAGGAGGCTGAGCTCTGAGGATCACAGGTTCAAACCCAGCCAGGGCAGGAAGGTCTGTCAGACTCTTATTCCTATGTCTCAATTGGTAGAGCACCAGGCTTGGGCACAAAAGCTCAGAGACAGCTTCCGGGCCGTGAGTTCAAGCCCCAGGACTGGCACTATAAAACAAAAATAACACACGCACACACCCCCTCATTCCTTATGTAGGAGACAGTCTATTCTTTAGGGTCACTCTGTTCAGGGACTGACTTTCGTGAAATCGCCCCTTGGAGGGAGAAATCACAGTTCCTGCTTTTCAAGCAAGGATGGTTCTGATCGCTGTCTAGGTCTTAGTTCATTGTAAAGATTTATTTATTTTTGCTTTTTTTTTTTTTCCAAATGATGGTACAAGTTCTTTTAAGGATTAAAAACTATTTAAGGGCTGGGAATGTGGTTTAGTTGTAGAGTGCTGGCCTAGTATGCATGAAGCCCTGGGTTCCATTCCTCAGTACCATATGAACAGAAAAAGCCAGAAGTGGTGCTGTGGCTCAAGTGGTAGAGCGCTAGCCTTGAGCAAGAAGCAGCTCAGGGACAGCGCCCAGGCCCAGAGTTCAGGCCCCACGACTGGCAAAAAAACAACAACAACCAAAACCACTTTATTTGTGTTTCAGTGCCACTCCAGAGGAGTATAATACAGTGGTGCAGAAGCCAAGACAAATCCTTTGTCAATTCATCGACCGAATACTTACAGATGTAAATGTTGGTAAGAAACCAATGTCTATATGAGCTTAACACATTAGACGGTTTCCTTTTCCATATGTGCAACATTATACTAATGTTTCTTTCCCCAAACATTTTGTTATAGAGTTGATACATGGATAGTTACAAGTTGTTGAGTATTGCTTATTGCTGTGATTTAGACTTTTAAAATTATTCTGTTAGCCTAATTAGTAGCATGGATTTGTATAACTGCTTGCTATGAATTCTTTCATCTTGTGTATTGCACAGAAAGTAAATTTCACTAAGTCTGACCATATGGCCTTATTTTGGCCACATGTTGTGCAAGTGAAACACGCACAACAGATGCCACCCCAAGCTCTTGAGGGTTGCTGCCTTTTTAAGCAGACAGAGTTCTGTGGGTTATCAACTCTTTGCCTATTTGTGATCATCTGAAAGATAAGCATCATCACCATGGCAAGAAGTTATCCCATCTGTCATCTACATTGCTAGTATAGAGTGACATTTGACTCAGGATTTATAATTTTCATTCCAAATTTGGTCCTAACACACATGATTTATAACCACTTAGCCTTTTTTTTTTCTTGGTGCCAGTCCTGGAGCTTGAACTCAGGGCCAAGGTTCTAACCCTAAGATTTTTTTGCTCAAAGTTAGATTTCTACCACTTGAGCCACAGTTCCATTTCTGTTTTATTTGATGCTTACTTGGAGATTATAGTCTCACGGGCCTTTCTGTCCTGGCAGGATTCAAACAGCAATCCTTAGAGCTCAGCCTCCTGAATAACTAGGATTACAGGCATGAGCCCCCGCACCTAGCTAGCCCTTCCTTTTTTTAAAGAGTAAAGAGGAAATTGCTAAGTTACACCAAAGAACTATACATGTTGATGTGTTTTCATATGGTACTCATTACATTACCTGCCTTCCCTCTGCTTAGCTAAATCTTCTTCATCTAAGAATTCCTTCATAGCACCTCCTTATCCTTATTCTAGATAAGTACAGTACCTGTACTGTGTTAGCATTATTAGTTTGTCACCTTCACAAAATTATGAGGTTTTTTTTTTGCCAGTTCTGTGGCTTGAACTCAGGCACTGTCCCTCAGCTTCTTTGTGCTCAAGGCTGACCTGTACCACTTGAACCACAGTGCCACTTCTGGCTTTTTCTGAGCAGGTTGTTGAGATAAGAGTCTTACGGACTTCCCTGCCTGGGCTGGCTTCCAGCCGCGATCCTCAGATCTCAGCCTCCTGAGTAGCTAGCATGACAGGCGTGAGCCACCTACCTGGTAATTAAGAGAATTTTTAAGTCTTCAGATTTCAGCATAGTATGTAACATGTTACAGGCCTATAGTTCATGATTGCTGAGCAGGATGAATGATAGATGAGTTCATTTAACTTACTGTATTTAACCCTACCATGTTACCATGAGCATTGTGCTAGATATAATAATTCTTTTTTTTTTTTTGTGCTAGTCCTGGGACTTGAACACAGGGCCTGGGCAATGTTCCTGAGCATTTGTGCTCATGGCCAGCACTCTACCACTTTGAGCCACAGCTCCATTTCCAGCTTTTTGATAGTTAATTGGAGATAAGAGTGTCACGGACTTTCTTGCCTCGGCTGGTTTTGAACCATGATCCTCATATTTCAGCCTCTTGAGTAACTAGGGTGATAGGTGTGAGTCACTGGCACCCAACTTGAATGTAATAATTCTGATTATTCCAGTCTACTTTTCTAATAAAATGCCTACTGTGTAATTTGTGAGACGTCTTTACAACAAATCTTTTGTTTTCTTCTTTTAGTTGCCCTAGAACTCATAAAGAAGACAGACTCTCAGCCCACCTCTGTGATGCTGCTTGATTTCATCCAGCATATCATGAAGTCCTCCCCGCTTATGTTTGTCAATGTGGATGGAGGCCAGGACCAAAGCGAGGCCAAAGGCAGCTGTGTTGGTAAGAGGCGCGCCATTCATGCGTTCATATGCAGGCTGCCTGGAACCTGCCTGCCCGCCCTGCCCTTCTTAGCTTGTCACATGGAGACGGTCATGCTCCTTTCCTAGGCGAACTTGCAGAAGCTCATCCAAGTAGTGGATGGCAGGCTCGGACCTTTCCCGAGATGCTCAACTACTATAATATATTAACAGTGTGTCAAAAATATACAATATAATATATTGTTAATGACGTTCATATCAATCTGTCATCTAGTTGGGCACCAGTGGCTCATGATTGTAATCCTAGCTACTCAGGAGGTTTGAGATTTGAGGAGCATAGTTTGAAGCCAGCCAGGGCAGGAAAGTCTTTGAGACTCTTATTTCTAATTAACCATCAAATAACACAGAAGTTAAGCTGTGGCTCAAGTAGCAGAGTGCTAGCCTCAAGTGCAAATGTTAAGAAACAGCACCCAGACCCTGAGTGAAAGCCCCATTATCAGCGTGTGTGTGTGTGTGTACCCACACACAGTCATCATGCATTTAGAATGAACACTTCTGAAGAACTTGTTTATTTACTGTGTTTTTTGTTTGTTTGTTTGCTTGTTTTAAAGAATTCAGTAACTGGATCATCACAAGACTTTTACGGATTACAGCAGCTCCATCCTGTCACGTCTTACACAAGAAAATTAGTGAAGTTATCTGCTCGCTCTTATTTCTTTTTAAAAGCAAGAATCCTACAATTTTCGGGGTCCTCACAAAAGAATTATTACTTGTTTTCGAAGATTTTATTCACCTCCACCAAAGAAATGCGGCTGGAGATATAAAAGAGTGGCCAGTGGTCATCTATAGATTTTTTAGCCAGTTAGATGAACACATGGGTTATTTACAAGCAGCTCCGTTGCAGCTCATGAGCATGCAAAATTTAGAATTTATTGAAGTCACTCTATTAATGGTTCTCATTCGCATTGTTGCAAATGTGTTTTTTAGACGGCAAGAACTCTTACTTTGGCGCATAGGGTGTGTTCTCCTGGAGTACGGTAGTCCAAAAGTGAAGTCCTTAGCAATCACCCTTTTAACTGAACTCTTTGAGCTCGGAGGACTACCTATCCAGCCAGCCAGCATGTTTTTTAAGTCACTTTTGGAATTATTAAAAGACCTTGCAGAAATGGACACTGACCAATTGCAACTGTACGAAGAGCCACTGTCAAAGCTGATCAAAACACTATTCCCCTTTGAAGCAGACGCATATGGAAATATTGAGCCAGTCTATTTAAATATGCTGCTGGAGAAACTCTGCGTCATGTTTGAGAGTGGCGTGCTTATGCGGCTCAAGTCCGATCTGCTAAAGGGGGCCCTGTGTCATTTACTGCAGTATTTCCTGACCTTTGTGCCTGCTGGGTATGAATCGGCTCTCCAAGTCAGGAAGGCCTACGTGAGGAACATCTGCAGAGCTCTCATGGACATTCTCGGGACTCAAGTAGATGAAGAGGTGAGTGGTTGCCCAGTTACTGGCTAAGGATACATTTTGCACAGGTAAATTTTCTGGTTATGTTCAAGTTGTAGCAATGAGAAAAACAATACATCTTTAATAATATGTCTATGGTTCTTATTACCTAGTCATGATCCCTGCTATAGACTTGTACTTTGACTTCAGAAGAATTCATTCAGAAGGCTTGTTTGTTCCATTGTTGATGGACTCTTAGTAGACCAGAATGCTTTCAAATAGAATTTGTGAGGCCTAAATGTGTTAGTTGCATTGTTCATTAAAAAGGGACTTAAATTCAGAAACTTTGATTACTCTGATTAGAATCATTCACGTTAAGAAAACCTGTAATTCCTCATACCATACCATGCCCTTTCTCATTGGACATGGTAGCTACGGATGTAAACTGAAATACTCTGGCTGATAATATCTGAAGCATGGAGGTTTAAACATCTTAGTTTAACTGCCAGGCACCAGTGTCTCATGCCTATAATCCTAGCTACTCAGGAGGCTGAGATCTGAGGATCTTGGTTCAAAGCAAGCCGGGCGGGAAAGTCCGTGAGACTCTTATCTCCAGTAAACCACTAGAAAACCAGAAGTGGCACTGTGGCTCAAGTGGTAGAGTGCTTGCCTTGAGCTGAAGAGCTGAGGGACAGCGCCTAAGTCCAGAGTTCAAGCCCCACAACTGAAAAAAAAAAATCTTAATTTAACTGTGTTGCTGCACTTGAGATGTGAAAGAAGTTAGTAAATCCTTTTCAGAATTTTTTTCTTTGTAGTATTTTGAGAGAGGGAAAAACAGTTGAGAGGATTTGTCTTCCTCCTTGTAAGACTGTATTGACACAGTACAGATGAAGTTGGAGGCTGGGTTTGCCTATGGCTGTGGAATAGTTTATCTTATAGAGAACATGTCACTAGTACCTGAGGCATTCATAAAGATTGTGCAATCATTTTGTTTTCTCAGTACTTGTTGGGTCCACTTTATGCTGCCCTGAAAATGGAGAGTGCGGAGGCGATTCCATGCTGGACTAAACAGGAAGATGGCAGCAGCACCAGTGATGAGATCTCTCCCAAAAGGCGCAGGCACAGTTCCTCCATCTCATCCCAAAGAGAATCAGAGCAATCCAAAGAGTAGGACTTCGTTCACGTGTGTGTGTGTGTGTATGTGTGTGTGTGTGTGTGCGTGCATACGTGTGCACACAAACTTGGCCTGCTGGCTTTCCCTTTGCTTTTTTGTTCAAAGCTGGTGCTCCACCACTTGAACTACAGCTCCACTTACAGTTTTTTGGGGGGCTTTGAACCTCAATCCTCAAATCTCAGCCTTCTGAGTAGCTAGGGTTACTGGCATGAGCCACTGTGCCTAACCCAGGTTTATGCTCCATTCAGTCCTTTCAGAAACCAATGTAAATAACAAGGAATTTTTTTCTAAGCGGACAGCGGAATGCTTAAAATATTTTTAATGATTCTTTTGGTTTATTCTAGTTCAAAACATTTCATGGCTAAATATAGTTACTGTGAATTTTTCACATATTTGTTTAATTTAGCTTTTAATATACTTGAAATATCACTGAAACTATGCATCAAGGAGGAGTTTTTCAAATGTTAACAAATCAATGATTCTATAATGCAGCCAAAGAATTGTCGTATTTGAGTCAGGCTGAACACTGTTTTAATTGTTGCTTAAATCTATCTTAGTATAGATAGAAGTTTATATTTCATTATAGTTCTTGTTTTAAGTATATGTATATAGTATATTTATGAATATTTGTATATGTGTGTATGTACATATACCCACTTTTATTTTTTTGATACCAGGATCTTACATGTACTAAACATACACTAGCCAGGCGCCAGCTACTCAGGAGGCTGAGATCTGAGAATCATGGTTTGAATCCAATTTGGGCAAGAAAGTACAGGAGACTCTTTTTTTTTTTTTTTTTTGGGGGGGGTCCGGTCGTGAGGCCTGAATTCTGGGCCTGGGTGCTGTCCCTCAGCTCTTCAGCTCAAGGCAAGCACTCTACCACTTGAGCCACAGTGCCACTTCTGGCTTTTTTCTTTTTTGCTTATGTGGTGCTGAGGAATCGAACCCAGGGCCTCATGCATGCAAGGCAAGCACTCTACCACTGAGCCACCTTCCTAGACCCCAGGAGACTCTTAGCTCCAATTACCAAAAAAAGCTGGAAGCAGAGTTCTGACTCAAGTGGTAGAGCACTAGCCTTGAGCTGGCTCAGGGGCAGCATCCAGGCCCTGAGTCTAAGCGCCAATATAAATTATATTGAAATAATTTATATTGAATTGTATATTTAATTGAATATACCCAAATTTATATTGAATAGTAATATCATTCTACTTGGTTATAATTAATTCTAGCCTGGATCACATGGATATGAGTGAAAAAAGCCTGCTCTGGAGTACACTGAAACACAAAGCTGAGGCTCTTCAGGCTTCCCTTGAATGTAATCTTGCAAAGAATCACATAACCGAGACTTTAGAAGGACTCACTGTTGTCTTACGGCTGGCTGCTCTGTGCACTGTGCACCGTTCATCAGACTACATGGAGTGGTAAACACCTTCTTGTGTTTTCTTGGTGGGCTTTCAGGAGACTTTATTATTTGCTCAATTTCTGTGACTTAGAACACATACTTTGAATGAAGTAGATCAGTTTCATCTCTTGCTGAGTGTCTATTAAATGCTGGCCACTGAGCTAAGTAGTAAGCTTACTAATCTTTACAGCCAAATCCATTCTCAAATCAGAAGAGTGATGGAAGCCAACATAAAGAGAACATAATGACAGTTGATTTGCATATTTTCATTAAATTGGCTTTATTGTAATAATTGCGTTTAACTTAAACAAGACTCATTTTCATCCTAATGTCTTAAAAAATGTATTCACTGCAGCCATGATTTCAACTGCCAAGACGGAAGCAAGAAGAATTCTCCAATGGCCATGACTTGGATGCCTTTGGATTTTTACTCAAAAGTGCTAAAGAGCTCTAGGAGTTTGTTAGAATCTGTTCAGAAGTCTGAATTGGAGGTGGTCATTGATAAAGTGGTGAAAATTTATGATGCTTTGATTTATATGCAAAGTGAGTAAGCTGTAAGACAGAATAATTTATGGCAGCGTAGAAATATGCTGTTTGGGGCTGGGAATGTGGATTAGTGGTTAAGTGCTTACCTAGTATGATGAAGCCCTCAGTACTACACACACAGAAGAGGCCGGAAGTGGCTCTGTGGCTCAAGTTGTAGAGTGCTAGCCTTGAGCACAGAGATGCTCAGGGACAGTGCCTAGGCTTTGAGTTCAAGCCCAGGACTGGCAAAAAAAATTTTTTTTAATATACTAAGTACAGAAATGTTAGTAATGAGTAGTTTTTCCTTGATATTGATTAAGCTTGTCAGTGATTTATTTTTTGTTGTTGTTAATGTGGAACTTGAACTCAGGGCCTAGATACTGTCCCTGAGCTTCTTTTGCTCAAGGCTAGTACTCTATCACTTTGAGCCACAGTTTCACTTCTGATTTTCTGGTGGTTAACTGGAGATAAGAAAGTCTCTGGTTCTTTGCTTCCCTAGGTTGACTTTGAAACATGATCCTCAGATCTCAGCCTCCTGAGTAGCTAGGATTACAGGTGTAAGCCACTAGTACCTGGCTAGTCAGCAATTTCTGAGTTTCACATTGCTATAACAGTCATTATTCTTCAGACAGTAATAATTTCCGCATAACTTCGAAGTGTTTTGATTTGAGAAGCTGAAGAGTGCCGCAGTCTTTTTCCTAACAAGTGCATAGCTGTGTATTTTTAAGTCACATTTAGTTTCTTTGGCTCATGAGACCAGAATTGTAGCTCAGTGGCAGAGTGCTTGCTTCACTTGAACAAAGCCCTGGGTTCAATCTCCAGAACTGCATACAACAACATTATTTATGACCCCTTAAATTAACAACCCCCATACCAGGCACTGGTAGCTCAGGCAGTAATCCTAGCTACTCAGAAGACTGAGATCTGAGGAGCGTAGTTCAAAGCCAGCCAGTCAGAAAGTCCATGAGATTATTTCTAATTAATCACCAAATAGCCAGAAGTGGAGGTGTGGCTCAGGTGGGAATGTGTTGGCCTCTGGTGAAAAGACAAAATCATGAGGCCCTAAATATAATCTCCAGTACACACACACACACACACACACACTCAGAGCCACACAGCCACCTGTACACACACACACACACACTTGGAGCCACACAGCCACCTGTACTTGATGTCCATTAAAATGCCATTCATATGATTAAGCAATAGATGTAACAGATGTCCTGTTGTGTGTTTCTGCAGTAAAACATTCATTTGAAGATGAGATTCTGGAAGATTTGTGTGGAATGCTCTCACTCCCGTGGCTTTCTTCCCTCTCTGATGATGACCCTGCAAAACTTCCTGCATTTGCCTCTCCTCTTCTGAGACTAAGCCAGAGGGTTTCTGGCAGCTACTGTAAGAGATCCCAAAATTGTTGTTTTAACGCATTTCTGTTATGTGGAATTTCTTTTTTTTTGTTTTTGTTTTTTTTTGGAGAGTCCAGTTGTGGGCCTGAACTCTGGGCCTGGGCGCTGTCCCTCAGCTCTTCAGTTCAAGGCTAGTGCTCTACCACTTGAGCCACAGCGCCACTTCCGGCTTTTTTTTTCTGCATATGTGGTGCTGAGGAATCAAACCCAGGGCCTCATGCATGCAAGGCAAGCGCTCTACCACTGAGCCACCTTCCCAGCCCTATGTGGAATTTCTAATGCTTACTTATACTTTTTTTCAGTAACAAAGGAGGAAAGGTATTTTCAATAATTCAAGAAAGAGTTGTATGGAAAGTAATAAAACAATACCCTCAAGGTTGAGATATACCCTTGAGTATCTTTGTTTTTAAGAAACTTGTGAAATATTTGAAGAACACACACAAAACAAAGTAGTGAGAATCTGCATTTTAACAGGATCCGGAGATTCCTATGCTCATTGAAGTTTGAGGTCATTAAGGTCACTACCAGAAGTAGGGTCCTGAGTTACAAGGTTTACACATTCATTCTGTTATGCTGTATTATCCTCCAAAGGTGTGCCCATTCACACACCCGTCTAGAGAATAGGAGAATTGCGCCCGTTCCACCTCTTCACCTATACATGACACTGTTAGTTTTGAAAGTATTTACTATTTAGGCTGGGCCAGAATGGAGCCTGTCTAAACTCCAGATGTGCAGGGAGCAGGAAGGTTGAAGCTGAAGGTAAGTTTGGGCAAAAAGGTAATGAGACTATCTCAACCAAACGAGCTGAGCATGGCAGTTGCATATCTGCAGCCCTAGCCATGTGGAGGGTAGAGGCAGGTGGATTGCTGTAATAAGACATATCTAAGACCCTCTCAGAAGTAACTAGAGCAAAACATGGCAGAGGATGGGGCTTAGGTGGTAAAGTGGCTGCCTTGCAAGCCCAGGGCTTGAGTCCACAACACAGGACTGCCGAAAACACCAAAGAAGAAAACTTTATAGAGAGAACTGTGTTGCTATTTTCTGTCTGTCAAGGTTCCTGATTTGTTTTCTGATAAGATTTAACTTAGATATTCTGTGTTATGTAACACAGAATATGTTATGTAACACACATGCATGTGTATTTCTATAAGTCAATTTTAACAGTTAGAAATCTAGTTTAATCCACTTCTTTATCTCTCTTTTTTTGTTTTGAAGCACTTCCGGCACTGTCACGATGTGTGTTTCTTTTGACTCTGTTTCCAAGAAGAATATTCCTGGATTGGAGAACAGCAGTTTACAGCTGGGCCCTGCAGAGCTCCCAGGAAGCCATCCGCGCCAGTTGTGTGAATGGATTTTTTATCTTGTTGCAACAGCCGAGTTCCTGTGACACAGTTCCCCAGATGCTTTTGTATGTATGAATATTTTCATGTGAATATATCACTCTGTTTTAGAACATAGTAATTCTTTAACCGTCTATGCAAATTACATCTATTGCTGAAAATACAAAGCAAGGACTGCTTTTCCTCATGTTGGAATTTGTTTTCCTACTAACCTTTATCTTTCCTATATTTTTGTCTTCTTTTTTGGTGGGGAGCAGTGGGTCGGTTGTGGGTCTTGCTTGAACTCTGGGCCTGGATGCAGTCCCTCAGCTCTTCAGTTTAAGGCTAGCTATCTACCACTTTAGCCACAGTAGCGCTTCCAGTTTTCTGATGGTTAATTGGAGATAACAGTCTCATAGACTTTCCTGCCTGAGCTGGCTTCCAACCATGATCTTTAGATCTTAGCCTCCAAAGTAGCTAGGATTACAGGCTTGAGCCACTGGCACCCAAGTGTCTTTTTGTATTTTAAGTAAATCTATCCATATATTAAGAAGTGAAATACATTGTCTTTTATCTCCCAGAGATAAAGTCAAGGACGATTCTGACATGGTGAAGAAAGAATTTGCTTCCATACTTGGTCAGCTTGTCTGTACTCTCCATGGCATGTTCGATCTGAGCAATTCTTTAGTGGAACCTGACATTGGGCACAGCCCTGTGGGCCTCTTCTGCAAGAATGTGAAAGCTATGTCTCAGATGAAGTGTTCTTCTTTCCAGCTGAAGGCTTCCATTTGCAAGCCATTCCTATTCCTCTTGAAAAAGCAAACACCTAGTCCTGTAAAACTTGGTGAGCCATTGTGACTGCCTTCATATTTCATTTTATTTTGTGGAATTTTACTATTTTTTGTCAGTTCTGGGGCTTGAACTCAGGGTCTTCCACTTGCATTTAGCTTATTTCACTCAAGGCTGGTGCTGTCCACTTGAGCCACAGCTCCACTTTCTCTTGTTCAATTGAAAACAAGAGTCTCATGGACTTTCGTGCCCAGGCTGGCTTCAGACTATGATATTCAGATCTCAACCTCCTGAGTAGCTGGTGAGCCACCAGTACCTGGCTCTAACAAATATTTTTTTTTTTTTTGTCGGTTGTGGGGCTTGAACTCTGGGCCTGGGCGCTGTCCCTCAGCTCTTCAGCTCAAGGCGAGCGCTCT